ATTCTGTGCTTTCATAACTCTGTTCTTGATATGGTATATAAGAGCAAAGAAGAGCCTCCCTTTAGCAAAAAGCTTAGAGTGACTGACTAACATATTCTTCTGCAATTAATAGCTAAAATCAATAGTTTCTGAGTAATTCTTTTTCTGGCACTGTGGTCAGTGATCTTTCTGTGTGTTACAGTTCACATTTCAGTTACAGCTACTGTTGTATGCATCATTGTTTTTCTCTTTGTACACCTGTGTCTTGCAGCTACCAATGGGATAATTTACAGAAACAATTTAAACATCTTCCCCTGGCTATGGAGGAAAGAAGAATAGTGGATGCACCCACATTAGCTTGGCAGCAGCATCTATCTTCTCCATTGCTTGCTGCCTTTGCAGCTGGCTTTTTGTTTTGTTGAATGTGACTGGATATTTTCCCATTAAAATAACTAATAAATTCAGTGTTAAGTGAGAATGAGTCCAAGTACTGAATTTGGAACTGAACTCTTGATTAGAATTGTTTATAAATGCTTTAACAGCTCTGTCTTATCCAAATCCATACATAGTGCAGATGTGTATGCAGAAGTTGTACTTCTGGCTGTTGAGTCTGGCTTTTAGTTGCAGTTGCTGATCAAGTAAGTAAGTACCTACACGTGTCTAAGACAGTGTCTTGGGAGTAGAGGCTGTGTTACAGAGAGGCAGTTCTGTCCACCTTCACCAGTAGCCTTCTTCTAAGAGGTTACCTTCCAAGCTCTCCCCCTCTCCTCCCTCAAGATGAATGTGGTAATTGTCAGTTTATGTTTTACCAATTGGATTGCAACTGGTAGTTGCAGAATTGATCGCTTTGTAGCCTTGGCTCTGGCAAGGGTAGAATTTCTGCTCAGAGCCTATCTTAGGTATCTCAGAATAGCTCTATCACATGGCTTGGCATCTGATCTGAAGTGTGGGAGATCCAAAGTCCTTGCTTTGTCTGAATCACAGCAGGGAATGGGCCATCAGTTTCTTAAATCCCCATGAGTGTATGCATTAAGTCTTCAGTTGCTGTCTTTCTTCCTTTCACACAATGTGTATTTGTTTTTGTCACTTAGAAAAAGAGGGATTGGTACACTACATAGCATACAGATTGCCTGGGAGATTAGATTCAAATTTAGGGTTAAATTGGGAAAAGCAGATGGTTCTTCAGGGAATGAGTCTCTGCTGATTTTCAGATGACTTGGATTTTGACCTAATGTGGAACTTGAATGCTCACACCAGCTTTCTTTTCACTCTAAATGGCAAAACATTTTTCTGCTTCCATCTGTGCCCCCTGCTTTTAATCTGGATTTCTAACACACCAGTTTGGGATGATTTTTGAATTTGTGGGTTTTGGCTGGTAACTAGTGCTGAAATTCAGACTGATACCCTGTGCTAAAGCCCATCTTTAGTTAAACACTTGGCCAACAGGGATCTGATACGAAGGTTGCGTGTATACTTTCATTTAAGATAATATGATTCACATTTAATCTGTATTAGCAATAACAAAAGACATCTTTGCTGTTTATATACACATTATACTTGAGGTGGAAAAAAACACATTTTCACAATCAGATGTCTGAAGATCAATTCATCTTACAAGAAAATTGTACACTTGGTAAGGGCAAAAATCAAACTTTCCTGTAAACTTTTCTCCAGAAATGGGCTGCCTCAGCACACCAATAAAATGTGGATGTGAAAGTTCTCTCAGCTTTCCCAAACAGAATGTGCCTCCAGGTGTCTCCAAAAAGTTGTATCAGGTGCTGGGACTAAGGTGGAATTCTGTTTATGTGTGTGTTTTCAGTCCAACTAAGTAGTGAACAAATACATTTTACACAATATAAAATCATGCAGTATGGCTTCATGGACTTTTCAAGGGGTAAATGGGCAGTGGAGGCCTTTCATATGCTCTGTATCAGTTCCCTGATCCCTCACTCCCCAGGTGCTTCTTGTCTAGGAAGATTAAAAGACATTGTACTTGATAATTCCTAAATGCTTTGCCACCCAAGTATCTGGGATTACCTGTAAGGATCTAAAAAAGTATAGTTGTTAAACTCCAAACCAGCAGAGAAAGATATGAAGAAAGGGGACTCCATAAGTACCCCTGGAAAATAGAAATATTGGATTAGTTTCTTTCCAAGTGAGTTTGGAGGCTGAGTCGCAGGATATGAATACAGCATTGGGAATGTTCCCAGCTCTTTTCCACAATCCTTTTAATGTGGTCACGGATTCCTGCCTGTGAGTGAAAATAAATAACTTCAGTGAGTGTCGAAAACATGGAGACTTTTAAATTTGTTTGGAAAAAGCATCAGGGCATGCAATGTTTTTTTTTGTCTGTGCTAATTAGTGATGACACAGCATCAAGATGGCAGAGAATGAATCATTTGGATGTTCATGAAACAACAGATTTTAATGTCAGTAACGTGGCTTTGGGGAATTCTTGAAGTAATAGAATAAGGATCCAAGGAGTATCTTTGGTGGAACAGATTTGTTTAAGGGGACAGTTATTCTTAATCTTGTTTCTTTTCTGATTAACACTAATAGCCATTCTACTCCTATTGGTTCTTGATGATAGTCACGTGCTTTAACAGTGCATTGTGGCTTTTATTATCAACACGATCAGGCTGAATGACCTTTGTACTAAGCTATGGAGTACCTTTGCACTCACACGTAAAGTTAAATTGGATGGGAGTAGCAGCCACATAGCATCCAGGAGATAAACCTGAGCGATCAGGAGCAGACATCCAAAGGTTGTATGTGCTATGTTAAAAACCTGTAATTGGGGCATTTCTTTCTTGAACTCAATAGAAACCCAGGAAGCTTTAGAAGCTTTTGAAGAACTAAACTCAGAGAAGACAGATTCTTTGTCTGATCGAAAACTAAACAAAATTTTGCCCTTTTTTGTACTTACCCAATTGCATCTTAGTTTCTGGAATTCAGTTTCTGTTGCAGTCAGTTTCTGGACTTGTAAGATTTTGGTTTGATATCACGCAGTATCTGAATTCAGTTGTAGAGCCAAATAGTATTTCTTAAAATGGAATTATCTTTTCTCTTAGTTCAGCAATTCTTGATACTGCATGTAATTAATTTTTTTGCTCCAGATAACTGATGGCAGCTTTTAAAATGCAGATGATTTAAATTATGTTAGTTATTGACAGTTTAATGAAGAATTGGAAAACCAAAGCTTTGGCAAGAAAAGCATAATCACAAAGCTACTAGGACATTTGGTAAAGTACTTCGGCCTTCTGCTCAGCTGTGTACCACAGGTTCTTACCGGGTTTTTGGGGAGTAGAGGGGAAGACTTGGAGTTGCCATTGATAAAGCTTATGCTGTTGAGATACTATTAGCATTTAATACTTTTACTTGTCTGAAGAATCATCTGCCTCACAAATCTTGTACAAGAGACTCGGCCTGAACTTATGGAGAGTAGAGGAAAAAGGTAGGAACTGAAAGCTAGAAGACAAGAAGTCAGATAAATCATCCTTGAAATTTCTTGAGTAGAGATGAAGACCCACATAGTTTCCCACCTCATGCCCTTCTGAAATATCTCTCTAGCTCTGCTTTGGCCTGCTGGGAGCTACTGTTGACCTAACTTGTGTTCTTGCTGAGACTATGCCATCTAGCAGAGCTTCATGGCCAAAAGACCCCACCTAGGATTTGTGTTTCTAGTATAACACCTGCTCTTAAGTGAGATCACTTCTCACTTTTTCAATTATTTAAAAAGCTGGTGGAGGTTTCCAATGGAATCTTATCCTCCTCTGGAAGTCTGATTTGTGCACCGTGTGATCAGCAGCACTGACTTCTGTTTGGTTTTGATATTCTTTAGTTATTTGAATGTGCTGAGGCCAGAGGTGGTATTGTGTTGCAGGACAGTAATGCTCACTATTTATGTCACACTGGAATATAAAGTCACTTTTGGGGAAACTTCTCCCATCTGTCATCATCTGATACCTGTGGAAGCATGGAGATTGTTTTTAAGAATCTGCACTCTATCATAAGCTGAACTCAGACTGAGCTTTGGAGAGCGAAACAGAGAAGAAAGCCTGGCCCAGATGATGTGACCAGCATCTTGTAATGAACTACTTGCTGTCTGCACCACTAGCTCTCTGCAGAGTATAATGTTGGGAACTCTCTGTAAATGATCTATCTTGGTAGAAGAGTGGTTTAGGAGTTTGGAAATAGCATATGTCTATCAGGAGCTTGTACAGATCATACTCTTAATTGGAGGGTTTTCCTGTCACTGTCTTCAGTTATGCCCTCAACTGAGGAAATAATGTTGAACCCCTTCAAATGGGAACTTGGGCATTCGTAGTGCTTTGTGTGGTGGTGTGTATTCAAGGAAATTTTGAGGAGGGGCAGAGTTTGCAAAGATAAGCTTCTGTTAATTGTTCATGTGAATTCCTGGGCACGCTGTGGTGGCAGTTGTGGGTTATAGTGTGGATTTAGAGCTGGTTGTTACTGGTTAATCCAGGCAGTTGAGAGCTCCTGCGTATCCCAGCTGTGGAAAAAAGCTTCATTGAAAGTTTACAGGTTCTTAAATGCTTCAGTCATGCTTCAATCATGTTGAAATACATTCAAAAGCTTTGTTTTTGTGCTCACAGAGCTGTTTTCTTCTTATAATTCAGAGATACTAAATTAAAAATGATTCATTTTAGGAAATGGGGAATTCTTCAAGCATATATGCCTTGAGAAAGTTGTCTGTTGACTTTGAGACTTCTGTCATTGAGCAGCTGAAGAGAAACTGAGAGATCCCCTGTTACTGATCTGAAACATGTGCCTCCATGAACTCTGCATGGGAAACTTTTCTTACCATCAGTGTGTGGTGGAAAAGGCTCAGTTCTTGAGGCAGTAAATCACTGCAAAGCGAGCAGAGCAGACTGGATGATAAGAATATTTGGTTTGGAAAAACTCATTTTTACATAGATGTCAGGTCTTTTAAATGGCATTAAAATAAGGACATCATGCCTGGTCTCTAATATCTGTATTTCTAATAACTGTTTTGTTAGAACCTGCAAGAATCATGCTGGGAGAAGGCAGGCCACTTCTTTGATCTTCCGGATTTCTTATCTTGGAAAGCCACAGGTGTCACTGCAAGGTATGTTAATTACAACAGTATGATTTGGTGGTCTTTGTCTAGTTGCTCATATGTGTTTCTGCTTTAATGCGTTTTGACTGGACACGCTGTGATGTACATCTGTCTGTAATTCAGCCTGCTCCAAAACATCTTGAACCTATCTCCTGCTTCCATCGTGCATTCCTGAACACAGTTGTTCCTGTGAGCAGTGTAATTCACAGATACACTGTGTTGCTACAACTGTCAGTTAATTGCTCTTGTACTCCATTTTGGAACATAAATACGATTGCTGTAGTTACTGTGAAATATGCTTTTAATAATTCTTTGAAGTCTCTTTTTGTTGACAAATTTCTTGACTTTTTTGCGTATTGGAGGAAAACACTGCTCTGTGGGAGGGATCTGGTAAAATCTTGTTTAAAATGGTCACTGCACTGTAAAACACAGCAGCTGTGCTGCTCTGAGAAAGCATCCTAGAATACTTGCTATAGTCTCAAAATTGCTATGAGAAAACCCCTTTAATTGATTAAAGTGACCAGTAAGTGAAGTGCATTTGCAACTGAACAAATCCTTGTGAAAAGTGAGGTATTATGTATTGAAAATCAAGTCTTACGGACCAATTACATGCCCAGCTCAGTGCAGTTCACAGTTATTTCCATTGCAGTTTGTGGAGCTGAAGCTGTGCAAAAATTAGGCTAAAAAGCAGATTGCTCACAGGATAGTTTTAGTCTCTCTGGAAATGGAAGGTACCTTCATATCAGACACAGTTCTTTTTATTTGAGTGCTCTTTCTCCTTAGTTAGTCTCCATGATTGACAGCTACTGTTAAATAGCTTGCATTGTAGAGCAGGGAAGTGCTATGTTTGATTTGAAAAGTGATGAGATGAGTTGTGCAAAGACCGGCTTGATTATAATTGAAAGGCAGTATCTCAAAACTTCCTTCCTTTGGACTTCCAATTAAAGCCTGTTGTCTGATGTATAACTATGAACTGTGTTACAGACAAACAACTCTCACCCCAGAGCAGTCCTGTTACCTGACCCAACTCTAACTCTAAGAGGATAATTCCCAGGCTCCCAGATGAAATGCCATGCAGGGTCTCTGTCTTGTGAAAGTACTCAAGACTTTGATGTAGACTTAGCACCCTTTGGTCAGGAGGTTTTAATTTGGCTTTGTGGCCAGATGATGATTAATAGATGGGATAAAGTGTGTAAGCAAATCATTAAATGTTCACCTTGTGTTAATGGACACCTTTTGCTAGTGGCTGAAGAAGCTAAAATAGAATATGCTCAATGAGAGCTTGGTGTCAAATATGATTTGAAATCTATCTTTTAAAGCAGGGGAAGTAGTTTCAGAGAGAATGATAATACATTTGAAAGGGATCTCCAATATTGCTGAACAGAGTTCCTGCTCTTTCCAGAGCCCTCCCTGATCCATAGCATAGTCTGTTTTAATAGTGGCAGCCATACTATAGAAAAGAAATCCCTTTCTCTGCTCTTCCCTCCCTCCATCTTTCTTGGCCTCCAACCTGGTGTAGCTAGTAGTAGTGTTTGTCTGTTTGCTGCATGTACCTCTCAGTGGTTGTAATTTCTCTGAGGTCTTCAGGAAAGAGGTGTTTCTTGGGTGCATTGTTAGTGCCCAGTACTGGAGGACCCTAATTGCTCTAGAGAACTTCTGTTGCAATAAATACTACTAGTAACAGTGAAAGATAAAACTGATCTTAGGAACTAATGATTGTATTCTCTAGTGCTCATCTAACCTTTATAGGAGTAGAGTCTGAATTCCTGAGATTAAAATTATCAGCCTCCTCTACAACCTTTGTATGCAATCAAAATGTATAGCAGAAGGTTTAAAAGGCAGGAGAGGGGGTGTGTTGGAGGTTAGAGTATGATAACAGAGTTCCTGTCTCCTGTCCCTTGTAATTTAGAAGGCAGTGTTATTTGTGGGTGTGAAGAAGGGAGGAGAAGGAAGGGGTAAGAGTAGTGCTATGGACTTCATGTAGTGGTGCTGTCAGCTGGTGTCAGGCTGTCATGGCTTGTGGTGGACTCTGGGACTGTCTAAACTGAGTGAAGCTCAGGTTTTGCTTTGGAAGTAGGTCTGAGAAGCAAGGGTATAATGGTAGTAACAGCTCCTTGGTCTTGCCTGGCTTTGGCTTAGTATTCTTAGCTGTAACTTTCTAGAGGCAAGGCAAAGAATCTCTCTTAAAAAGAAGTTTTTAATCATTGATGAATGTTGGGAAAAGACTTTTTGGGCAAGCTTCCCCCACCCTTTGGTTGAGTGTCTTCTGTTTTGAATAAAATAGTTCCTTGTACATCCTACTTTGCTTCCTTTAATGTGCTCTCCACAATTAAGCCCTTAGCTTTGGCTCTAGTGAAATGTTTTCTAGGGTAACAAAGGAGGATAATAAGGACAAGAACTATTTTGTTGGCATCAAACCTATTTTTATTTCCTCCCCCTGCTCTCCTGCATGCAGACCTATTTCTTGGGAATTCTCTTGTAGTTTGGTGAAGTAATTTGACCTCCATATACTTATAATACTGGGGAAGTGTGAATTCATCAAGTATAAGATTCCTACCTTTCTCCCATTGAGCACAAAGGAGCCTTTCACAGGGCAGGACACAGTGTTAGTCACTGTGAATCATTCATAACTTGGCCCTGATAAATGAAAGATTTTGTTTATTAAATTTGTTTTGGTGATGGGGATTTTACCAAAACAAATGCAATTCCAAGGACACTTCTGCCCACATTGAAACTGTTACTCTTACTTCTTTACATTTTTAAGGGTCTCTTTAAAACAGTTTGTATCTATTTGACATTTAAAATCTATGTATAGTCTTTTTGACTTCTGGGAGATTACTCAGTGCACAAAGTGTCTAAGATCAGGATCTTAAGTGTTTGAAAAGCAGTTTGTGATGTGTGCTTCTGTGTATGAAATGGTTTGTCATTCACCTTTAATTCTGCCAGCTTGAACTGAATTCTTCTGAAGTGTTTTTCCACTGAATGTGTAATAAACAGTAAATGCTTCTTACCTCAAAGGTGGAGACTCAGACATATGATGAGACTTTTACTGACTGGCTTTGAAATTCCCTTATATCTCACCAACATCCATCACTTGGAAAGGATAAAGTCCAAATTGTTGATTCCCATTGTTCTTGGAAGATTGTTGCCTGTAATATTTCCTATTAAAAAGAGTTATTTTTTTATTTCTCCTCCTTTGAGTTGATGAAAGACCATTGAATTGTTCTGAATGAGCCAGGCAGCTGACTCTTCTGCATGCAAAAAATGTTACTGACAGCTCTTTAGTTAAAATAATTAAAACTTTGGGACTTCCCAGCTCTTGCTTCCCCAAGGCTTCAACAATGAGGATTGGTTTTGCCACTCAAATGCTCTGTTTTCTTATTTATGTTGTGGAAAGGAAGAGAGAGCAGTTTTTTCACAGGCACATTTGCAATGCTTTGAAGAGGCTCAGCACTTTTACTCATGGTGAGCATGACTCATTGCTCTCTTCCACCCACCATCTATAACCACTGATAACTTTTCCTTTATATGGTATTTTGGATAAAGCTATCTGAATAAAATCTAAATACCTATCTGCTTTAGTTACAGGCTACTGTGTTATGAATGGAGAATTCTTACCAGAGAGGCACATCTGCAATTTTACTGTGTTTCTGAAGTCTAGTGAAGGATTACATTGCAGATAAGAATATGGCTGAGCTGTTAAACTGGGTAGAATTTACACACAGATGTGTATTTAGATCCAGCATCTGCTTCAGGGCCACTTCAAATCACAAGCAGCTCACTGGAAAATTAGAGAGTGCTGGATTTACATGGTTTAAGACAAGCTGTAATCAAGGAGAGATTAAACCTGTGGAGGAGGATTTGGAAACATAGGGAAGAATGTCAGGCTGACATTGTGGAGGTAGAGAGAGTCCAACATGATGCTACAAAGCACCTTCCAAAATTACTCCCCCAAAAGTTGGAACAAACTGAATATTTGTGCAGGCTAATGTCATTACACTCTAGATATGTAAATAGCTAGAGAAAGTAATGTATTATCTAGGAGAGAATTCATTTCATATATGAATGTTGACCCAAGTGGAAACACTTGTCTAGTCAGTTTTCAACTGCAAGCCATCATGACAGAGGAGAACGTGTAACAGAGATTTAGATACTTGTGGGGGACCTTTTGTAAATGATCTTCTTCCAGCAGATCTCAGGATCATGAATTTCTCCATAGAAAATCAGTTTTAGAAGAAAGAAACTCATACTGTTACGGTAATTACAGACTACAAAGTGAAAGGCAAATGCTTGCAGTTCATAAAAAGCATTTCTGGGAACTACATAACTAATAGGTGTTGTAGTTTCTTATCTATATCTCTGTGAGAGTGAGTGACATCTTTTAAATATACAGAATATTTTCAACAGGAAGATACCTTGACAAATTGTTTTCTTTCATTTATGAGAAAGAGGCTGGTTCCTTGACCTGTGCATGTTTAAATAGCTGACACTTTACTGTAAGCAGTGAAGTCCTTAAAGTTTATTTGTAACTTGTTGTCAGTTGCTTATCATTAGGCCTAGAGGTGGCTCCGTTGCACTGATCGAAACTCCTCTGATGTTAGTGGTGTTGATGCAGAATATGCTGGGATAAATAGAAGTAGAGTCTGGTCCATGCTGATTTACCACAATTGGAGTTTTTAATAAAGCATAAAAGCTGCAAAGATGCTTTTGAGTCCAAGAATCTGGATTCATGTCCCCTGTGTGATTTGGAGAAGTGAATTAAATCTCCATCTCTGGAGGTGTTTAGGCAGCTGAATACCTTTGAGGATTTGATCCTTATTCACCCCTGTATTTGTTTTTCATCTGTTAAACTGATATGTGCATGCACTCTTGTGAGGTTGCTTGTTTTACCCGCTCGTTGTGAGGTGTTTCATCACTGCGGTTAGACAAGTCCTCACCAAATATTTTATCCAGATAGGCTGGAAAGTGTGAAAAGAGAGAGTCTGGAAGAGAACCTTGTGTTTAGAGGC